CGCGGAGGGATTGGGGGGGGGGGGAGTAGACAGCTACCTGCTGTAATAGTAAGATCTGAATTGAGGTTTCTTAGGTTCTTTCCACCAATACACATTCCTGGACCCTACTCTAAAACTACCAAATCGAAATCTCTAGGGAGTGAGCCTAGGAGTTTTCTAAAGAACTGAGTATTTTCCTGGTACCCAATAAAATCTTTCTCAAAGACACCAATGTCAACCTCTGGCCTCCGCATGCATGTGTGAGCACTCACACATACATACACACACACTCTTAAACATGTACAAATGCATTCACTATACACACCAGAAGAAACTGCATTCACTGTTCTTATTTTTGGGGGGAGGAAGTCAGGTAAGTGTAAGCATGGTTAATTTAGGCTTAAGTTTAATTTTAACATGGGCTTTATTTTATTTTTTTTCTTTTTGCTATGATATTGCCCAAGCAGGTCTCAACTTCTGGCTCAAGCTACCTTCCTCCGGCTTCAGCTTCTCAACTGTTGAGATCAATGGTGCATGCCAAACTCAAGCTAAAAAACAGTAAGTAAAGGGCTAGTGAGGTCGATGGCTGTTGGTAAAGCACTTGCCATTCAGTATGAAGACCTGAGTTCCATCACCACGTAAAAAACCGGTATGGTAGCATGTGCATGTAATCCCACTGCTACAAAGGAGACAGGAAGAATTTTGTGGAGTGCTGGCCCCAAGCTAGCCAAACAATGGGTTCCAGGTTGAGTGAGAGACATGGTCTCAAAAAATAAGTTGAGAATAACTCCCTACATGTACTTATGTGTACACATACAAACGGGCACAAAGAAACACGTAAGGCCGTATGAACAGTATTATCATTCTAGATTTACATAGTGGCCAGCACCTTGCTCTTCTTAAGGCCATGTATGTGTGAGAATACTAAGTATCAAAGTTTAGGTACCAGACTCATATCCACTAACAAAACATGACTATATATAACACAGCAGCTATGCTGGTGCTCGTCCCAAGAGGTGCTCCAACACATATGTCTCAGATAATAATTTGCTTTCACAAAGGCAACTATTTCATTAAAGCAATGCCTGTTGTAAAAAGCTATCAGAGAAACCTGGTCTCAAAAAAGAAAAAAAAAAAAGAACTATCCCTATCTCTCCATGTACCTACAGCTTCTTCATACAGCATGTTTTGATTTAACAGAATAGAAATGTCAAATTCATAAATTCAAGAAAATGTGTACCCAAATTATTGTGAGAAATGAAAAGCAATATACATGATCATACATGTTCTAACTAAATAATCACCACCTGGGACAGCTGCAAGACAGCCGTCTCATCGGGGACAAAAAGAACATCCACAATTAAGCAACCTTGTGCATATTCGTGGAAAGCTGAACAGGTAAAGTTGTCTGGCACACTTCTTCACCAACAACAACGGTCACTGCTTCAGTTCCTGTTAGAACACTAATCAAACAAACCTTACAAATGGGCCTGATTTCATGTCAAGGACTTCCAATTACCCAAGAAGTAACCTCTACCAACCCCACCCTCAGACCGTTGGGACTATTATTTTTATAATGACTCAGAGAAAGGAAGAGTTACATACAGTCACAAGTAAAATCCTAAACGTTTCCTTGTGGCCAAAGAGATGACTCAGCCTGTAAAGGTGCTTGCTACCAAGTCTAATGATCTGAGTTTGATCCCAAGTCCCCACAAGGTAGAAGGCAAGAACTGACTCCCACCTGTCCTCTGACTGACATGCGCCCCCCCCCCCCGCGCGCGCGCGCGCGTGTGTGCGCGCGCGCGCACACACACACACACACACACACAAAGAAATACAATGAAAAAAACTAACTTTAAAAGGGGCTGGAGAGGTGGCTCAGTAGTTAAAAGCACATCCTGGACCTCTGGCATCTCTAACTCTAGCTACAGGAGGATCTGGACCCTCAGGAACCTGCACATATGTGTGTGCACAGACCCCACACAGACACACAAATTTATATAATGATAAAGATAAATCTTCCTCACACACATATATAAAAAATGATAAAAATAAATCTTCTCACACACAAATATATATATAAATGTTAAAAATAAATCTTCCTTTAAAACTTTAAAAATATTGAACATTTTCTGTAGAACCCCACTCCTTCCCTTAAACCACACATTTTCTAAAGCCTATGGTGCAATGGTCAACCTGGAAAACAGAGTAAGTCGCGGCCTGCTCACAACAGTTTATACCCCTACCCTGGCATTATTCTCTTTCAATCCAAGTTTTGAAAACTGACAAATTTATTGCCTTAATTAATTATGAAGAGGTTGGTGGGGAGGGAATCTCAGTGAACAAAGGCTGTATTTATAAGGAAGTCCGAGGAGGAGCCCCTGACAGCTGACAAGACCCTTTAAGACCTGGCAGATTATCTTCAGTCTCAATCCCTCTGGAGTCTTGTCAACAGCAGTCTCCAGGTCTGTTCTTCTTTGCTTAGATCACCCTCTTATCCCTTTCTTTAGTTTGGCTAATTCAGAAATCATTCCTCTAGAAATCTTCCTTCCACAGCCGCCCATACCCAGGAAACAAAAGCTCCCACTCCCATGTGCTGAGGCAGAGTAAGTCAAAGAAAAAGTCCTGTGCTTCTTAAACAGAGCAACAGAGTAAAAAGCAAGTCTGCTTCGTTCCACTGTTAAGATACCTGACATATAAAAGCATCTCTGTAAATGGCCAACAGGGGAAACATTAATGTCCTTAGTTATGAGGAAAAATCATCACTTATTCCAAATGTGGCGGATTTAATATGCAGAGAAGAAAATGTCTTCTGATGTGTCTTCTATTAACAACAGGTATGTGCAATGAATTCAGACACTTTTTTATTCAAAGTAAATCCAAACAATGGCTCAAACATGCTTAACTTGTTCTTTAAAAAACAAAGTCTATGAAAAGACTATGCACAGCAAGTTGTAACACTGAAATTTTCAATCAATGCCTTGGGCTCTGGAATTCAGAGCTCCAACTCCCAGTTCCAGACAAACTGGTTCTCTGTAAACGTCAATGACACTAGCAGAGCATCTGAAATCATGACCGCTAGACATTCCTTTGTACAAGGTCTGTGACCCTTGCTATGTTGTGTTAGATCTGCACACCTGTAGAACTTCCATTATCCACAAAATCAACAAGTAGAAAGGGTAGATGTTGGGAAAGGGAGGAAACTTTTCAAGTGTAAAAATGAGAAGACTGTAAGCAAACCTAACAAAGTCCACCCTACTCCCACAAATTTTCAAAAGGTGATAGCTCAGTAGTTTCTGCTCTTCCAGAGGACCTGGGTTCAATTCCCAGCAACCACATGGTGGCTCACAAGCACCTTTACCTCCAGTCCCAGGGGACCCAATGCCCTCTCTTCTGACCTCTCTCTACAAGTGGCACACATAACAAACATGCTGGATCTAGGACTGAACCTCTAATATAGGGCATTTGGGGAATCACACAGCAGAAATGATCCTCTTTCTCCTTAGCGATATTTTTTTAATATTTATTTATTTATTTATTTATTATACAATATTCTGTCTGTGTGTATGCCTGCACGCCAGAAGAGGGCACCAGACCCCATTACAGATGGTTGTGAGCCACCATGTGGTTGCCGGGAATTGAACTCAGGACCTTTGGAAGAGCAGG